GGGGGGGGTGTGAAGTATCTATAAGAAGATGGTTATTTAATGGTTGTAAGTGTTTCAATGGGTTTAGGTTTGCCATTTAGGCCTGGTTAACACCTGGGCGATTTACAGCGCGTTCCTACGCGCTGTAAAACGCTCAACATGTGAAAACCAATAATTGCCTATGGGCATGGTTCCCATCAGGGCGTCTTACAGCGCGTAGGAACGCGCCGAAAAACGCCCTACGCCCAAAGTAGTACAGGAGCTTCTTTGGGGCGTATTTTCCGCGTGTATCCATTAGGATACAGCCGGATAGGCCTCGTAAACTCACGCTTCTTTTGCGTACGCCCAGGTGTGAACCCAGCCTTAATTAAGTTTATTTAGTGTAAACATAATAGAAAATATATTTTTTGAAATATAATTTAGTTAGAGGTTTGTGACCATACAGAGCACCAAGCTTATATCACCACACGATGACAGTAACAATATTGCCAAAGAGGGCCTTTCGAGAGCCTTAAACCGATTTCTGTGTGCGCTATAGGTGGATTCCCAGTGCTGTGTACTGTGCCTGTCCTCTGTATAGTAAGTGCCCAAGGTCCGCCTTTGAACCTTCCCTGGGCACACACAAATCAATAAAAGGTTTAGGTGAAAGAATTATTAGCCTGATGGGCCAACAGGTTCACTTAAAAGAATGTGTACAATCACCTTGCATCGCCGCAGTATTAAGGCACCAAAGTGAGCAACAATTGCTGACAGTAGTGTCATTTCCAGATGTTTTTATACATACATGGAGGACACATTCTTCATTGTATTCTTATTCAATCTAAAGCTTGTGTCACAAATTTATATCTGTAAATACTTGGCATACATTTCTATCTTGTACTTATAACACAATGAACCTAAAATTAGCCAATCATGAGAATTGAATCCCTCCCCCATTGCAAACAAATGACATTATACTCACAGAAGATAACCATTATAGAACAATGCAGCCAAAACAATATCTACAGGAACCTCTAAAGTCAGTGTATTTACCTTTAATATACCAGCATGACTGAGCAGCAAGTTGGAGGTCTTGAGATCCCTATGAAGAATCCAGTTATCGTGCAGATGGCGAACTCCCCGTAACAACTGGATCATTAGAGTTTTCACCTCGCCTGTGGACAGGTTAAAAAAATAAGAACTAGTGCTATCTACTGTTGACAGCATGTCTAACACACAAGCTAAATACAGTAGTACAAGGCTTTCTTTATCTGAATTAATCAGCACCAAATGTCAGTTAACAGAAAAAAAAACCTAACTTACAATGAACCGTACAAAAAAAACTCTGGATGTAAGAATTATTTTTCAGTTCTGAGAATCATCAGTGTCCAAAACCTATAATGGATGGTCTTGCAGTGACTTCAGTGTTAACATATGGACCCCCGAAGTTTGAATTAAAGAAAGAAAAAAAAAAAAGCCAAAGAACTTGGTTACATAACAACGATCAAGAATTACTGGCAAGCCGCGCAACAAACTATTATATTCAATTTTAAAAAAATGAAGCAGCCAAGCAAAAATCGAAAGTGTCTGGTTCCTACAAACTTCAACAATGAGATCTCCAGTGCAAGTAAAAAGTTAAAGCCAGTGCCTTTATGAAACCATCGTGGAAAACTGTATATATGTTTATAGAGTAAGTTCAAATCTAAACTAGTTACGAGCAAACTGAACAATCTCTCTTAGATGAACAACAATGTATTGCCTGGGCCAGCCTAAAGATTCGATTTAAAGGGACACGGTCATAGGGGGTTCGTAGAGACTGCCATTATTGACCTCTTCTTTCAGAATGCTAGTTTCCTAGATGTCATTCTGATACTTCATTGTACAGGGCAGTGACCCAGTGATTTAGAACTACATATCTCAATACTTTTCTTTATAACTTGTTCGGACACTCAGCAGGCTTGTTTGGAGATTGTGACTGAAACATACTGAAGTCAGACACAGCCAGCCATCCAGTACTTATTGAAGGAGGTCTGAAATGGCAGCCCCTGTACTTCTCCCGTGAAAAATTCATATCTAGGAGGACATCACACTACTATACATATAGCTGCTGGCAAAGCAAAAGTAGCCAAGTGTTGGAGAAATAAAGTGTCAAGCATTTTTAGGCAAAACATCCTAATCTACTGTTACTGTCAACACTCAGTTTACCTGGTAGAAAGGGCTGTTTCATGGTCTCCATGAGGCTCTTCAAATCATGTTCCACATAGTTCATTACAATATAGATTTTGTCCATGTTACTCCCCACAACAATTTCCTGCAAAAGATACAAAAAGAGAAAAAAAAAACTGTGCATTTTAAATTTGGACAAGGAGAAGTAATAGAGAGATTCAGAAACTATTCTGAACTTCAGCTTTATACACTTTTCATTGTTCTCTCTTCTTAGCACTAGTTTAGAGACCAGTTCATGGTCTATTGTAAACACTAAACTGTATAAGTCAAAGCAATGACTCCTCTGATCAGACAACTTGTTCTCTCTTTTTACATATATATGATACAAATATTAGAGAACAAATTGTAACCTATAAAAGGGAAATTAAAATCAAAACGATTTGTTTCCTTTATAGATAACTAAACGATCACGCTCAATACACAAACTTCTCCTTCATGTGAACAAATCTATTACCTGACCGTGTCACATGGTTACCTTGCAAACACACAATCTTCTCGATAGAGAAGGCCGATCATACTCGGAAGAGACAAGGAGGCTCATTTACTAAAGGATTTGAGAATGTTCACATACTAAAATGTGTAATTATTTACCTAATTATGTGCAGATGGAATCGGTAAACAGGGATTTTTTTTTCCACATGACTAACTCTCCATGCATTTTGTTGTGTACATTCTCAAATCCTTTATTAAATCAGTTTCTCTGTGTGACAAATCGATCAACAGAATACATCTATGGACAGACCACCACAGCAGTTCTATACGTTACGATAGATGGCTGGGCAGATATAGTGGGGCAATGTACAAGCGGAAGGTAGCACCAAACCTAACTCATAGCATCCTTTACTGGTCATCCCAATTCATTCTGCAAGGATGTTCAAATGCTTACCCTGACCCGGACAATGTTCTCGTGCTGGGCTTTCAAAATAGTGTTGATTTCACGGAGTGAAGTTATAGGGAATCCTTCCTTCTCTTTTTCCATTTTCAGTCTCTTCAGAGCCACAATTTCATCTACAAATGGAGGCAAAATGTTTATCACTACTGTAATTGACAGAACATCGGACCACAGGTGCGGGATGTAGAATGAGACCCATCCTCAATCACATTACCCAATTGCCAGGACCTGCCACAACTGAAAGACCAAAGTAGCAAACACATTGTTAAAACTGCTTTAAAGTCAATATTGAGTCCGCCCAGCATTAAAAAGTGAACCTAAACATGGTCAGATGACCGCAAGAGACACTCTGAGCTGAAGAGCATTTTGAAAACAAAAGGCTGTGAGTGCAGTCTCTCTGGTTTGTATGAACATAAACAATCTCATCTGAGGGCTCAGCGGGAAAACCCCCTGAAGTACTACTGAACTCTGGGGAAAATACAAGTTACCCTTTCAGTGGGGCTCCCTCTGTATTTCAAGGGTTAAACACTCATTTTTGCCTAGGGTACCATAAAAAGCAGCTTCACTTACCTTATATGCCTCACTCCCGGAAGCATCCTCCCCTCCGTGCCATCAGCTCCCTGAAGTCGCTTCTCTTTGGCACCCTGTCGGTCAGCCCCAACACTCTGACTTCATCAAGTACAATACAGGACCAGAAAACCTGCATTATAAGTGAGGAAGCTGAGGGCCCTCCCACAACCAAGAGTGTCGAATAGAAGAAGAGAGTGCGGACTGCCGTAGGAGTGAGGGATAAGGTACATAAAACTGCTTTTTAATAGAACCTTACACAAAAATGAGCATCCTCCTTCTGAGCTGCATTTGACCTGCTTCAAGAGAGCATGTCATTCCCATAAACTTGTATAAAAATGCAAAACTTGTCTGATGTAACCAAAAGCCCATTAACACCGGCCCTACGTATGCCAAGTGTGATTTGCAGACAGACAACTCACAATATACAAATCTGCATATGAAGTAACCATTTTTAAATTATGGAACTGCAAGTACACAGACAAAAATCCACATTAATATAGCTTTGGAGTAAATGTTGAAATCATTCAAAATGTTTTTTTGCTGAACACAAACTATAGCTTTCCTTCAAGAAGCTAATAGATGAATCACACCACCAGTGTCCTGTGTGTCAATACTAACATACTAGATCAGTTTTAGGTGAACAGTAAGAAATTCCTCCATCTCACTACTGAAAACACAGCACAATGGCTGCAATATGTAAAGGGGATAATATGAAGCACAGATATAATTATGTGGACAGTAGAGCACACACACTTACCTGTTTTCTTGTCCTTTGCTCTGTACACAACGCCATACGTTCCCTCTTCAATACGATTCAAGCACTGAAATTCCTCCACACTGCGACAGCCCTGCCAATGTAATGAAAGCACAGACATTTATATCACCACACGATGACAGTATCAACAACACAAGTCTTTATTTCATTCAGGGCCATTGTGCCAAGTACCTGTAGTGCTGGAAGGTATTTGGGCAGCTCTTGCTTCAGCTCCACAGGAGACATAACTGGAGAGTCAGGGACATAGTCACCATCTGTCTGGGCATTGGAATGGGGACTTGCATCCCTGACGTCATCTTCCTCCTCTTCCTCTTCACTTCCAACAGAGTCATGGTCAAACCTGGATTCTGGCACTGTAGTAGATGAGAAAAACAATTTATCCAGCATGAACAGATTCCAAATTGAAGAACAAAATCTTAAAACAGTTTTCTCTCTTTGGCGGACTTTGACCCGGGTTTAAACTCTGGCTAGGACTTCACTGTTGTCCAATAGATGGGTTCCTCGCAATAGACTTTAAGCCCTCGTTCACACAAACGTTTTGTAGCGCGTTCTACGCTCGACGAACGCTCTACAAAACGCTCAAAAATATAAATCCCATTGTATTCAATGGTCTCGTTCCCACCTTGGCGTATTTCCGCCCGTCCCTAACGCGCTACAAAACGACCCACGCCTAAAAAGGTACATGTACTACTTTGGGCCGTTTTGTTTTGCGCGTTTCCATTGGGATACAGCCAAGTAGCCTTCGGAAACGCGCGTTTGTCGCGCAACTTTTTTTTACCGCGAATCGCAACATGACCCCAGGCTGCAGATGTCACCACCATCAGTAGGAGCTGCAAGCAGCCCCAGAACTGTAGAAAGTGAGATGAGGGCACCTGGTAAAGCAGGGCTGTCCCCTTCATGTCTAGAGAATCAGACATGTTGCTACTTTGTGGTAGTAAGGCAATGTATCAATTCAAAGTAAGCGGTAAGGTCTCAGGTACTCACCAAACTCAATATAGCGGGTAACAGGTGCAAATTGGATGGCTGAAGGGGACCAAAGCCACTGTAAGTGGGCAGCAGGAACTGATCACAGTTCCACGTGACTCTTACCGTACAGTTAGGAATGTGCCAGTTCAGGTAGGAATGTAGTTGGTCCTATCATGGAGATGTACAAACGGATGCATGCAGGAATCTCACCTCATGGCAAGTACCCCTTGATGTGGCTTAATTTATAATTCCGTTCCCCTAAATGTACGTCACTGTTTTTCAAACAATCAATTTTGTTTTTATAGGAAACCTGTACTGGAGGTGTTCTCACTGCTGACCACCTATTTGCCTGTCATGCTGTCTCTCTTGAAGCTACATGCTAACCTGAAACAAGAATGCATAGAAGGGCTTTTCTAATTTGCATACTTGTTTTGGGTCAGTGACTAAAGGTGGCCATACACTGTACGATTATCGTACGAGAATTGCGGGAAATCCCGCAATCGTACGATAATTGCAAAGTGTATGGAAGGCGTGCGACCGTTTCTACTGTACGGTCGCACGTCTTCCGTCGAACAAGCAGGCTGGAAAACCCGCCGGGAATCGTACGATTCTCGGCGGGTTAGTGTCCTGCTTGTTCAACAACTGCCGAACGGGCCGGTGTGCGCACATGCACACTGCCCGTTTGCAGTCATCGGAAGCCCGCCCCTCAGGGGGGCGGGCTTGCGATGATCGCAAGTACGATCTGCCTGTCCAGGATGGGCAGATCGTAAATTTTTTACATTACTTTACAACCCTCGCAAGACAAAAGTCTTGCGAGGGTTGTAATGTGTATGGCCACGTTTAGACACTAATGAAGGCAGTAGCTCAACAAAAAGTCAGACTGTTGCAGTTTTCATAACAGATCAATAATGGCAGCCCCCATACTCATCCCATGGCAGAAATACTACAAGGTAGAAAACGCAAGTCACTTATGCAAGGCTTACAATGGGTCATGTATTGCAAGATTAATTCTCTTACCAAGAGGTACGTGATTTCCATTCTCCCTTTCATCATCATCAGTCATCTCCTCCTCACTGACCTCTTCTGCAAAGAAATACAAATCAAAAGACATTGATCAGGGTATATTTTTAAGCATAGACTGCCTTAAAGGAAGATTAAGAGAAATATATAGCAAAGTAGTATATATTATAGCAAAGTAGTATATATTATAGTGAATGTAACAGTGTGCCTTAGAACACAATGAGGAGAATTTATCAAAACTGGAACAGACAAAAACCAATCAGCTTCTCTGTCTCATTTTCAAATCTTACCTGAGCAAACTGAAGAGAGATGCTGATTGGTTGCCATGGGCAACTGCTCCAGATTCTGTCTGCTCCAGTTTTGATAAATTACCCCCAATGTGTTGTGCTAACATTCAGAATGAGATGCTGTGATAAGCCCATCAACATCCAGTAGGATGCTAATGATTAAAAGGTGAACTATGGGGTTAGGGGTTTTCCCCATAGTTCTCCTAAGGGTAACGGGAGGACACAAACTAGCGTTCTCCCGTGACCCAAAGCTCAGTATACCGCGAGCTACAGCTCGCGCTATACCTAGACGCTGCAGCCGGAACGTATCCCGACAATGCTGTCTGGATCCACCCAGCTGAGTTACAGCGGGCTCTGCCTATCTAGAGGCAGAGCCAGCTGTATCCGCCCCCTCCATTTCACAAGTCAGCGCTGGAGGATCGGAAAGGGTTGGGGGAATCCCTGCAGGGAGCCGTGAGTGACAGTCACGGCTCTCTGAACGGATAGATCGAGAATTGAGCGAGCGACGTTATGTGTTCACTCACTTCTCGATCTACTGAACCGACCTGTGACAGTTTTATTGTCACAGGTCGGCTCAGATTATGAGGCTGAGTGAAAATCACTCGCCTCATAATTCTCCTTTAAGCACATAATGCTCACCTAGTTCTCACTGCAGTAAGCAGCACAACTGTAGTGGCAAGACATACATGTGTTTCTATAAATATAATCATCACAAGTCACCAGGCATTACCTGCACTATGCTCCGAGGCTGCTTCTGAGTTACTTCCAGTTTCCTCTTCTTCTTCCTCCTCCTCTTCCTCCTCTTCTTCCTCTTCATCCTCCTCTTCTCCTTCCTCAGACTCCTCAGAGCTGGTTTCCTCTTCTTCCTCAGATCCAGAACCAGAGCCACCTGACAATACACAACATCTATTGAGTTTACAGGGCTTGTGACAAGAAAAAAAAATACAACTCTGAGTTGAGATTTTTATCCTTATAACAAAAAAGTAAGTACAGCGCTCTCTAGAGGGTGGGGGTGTATTAGATGGAATCTGGTGGACAATGATTTGTGAGCAGCACAAAGACACCAGGCGGAGAGAACCTGCACGACAAAATTCTAAAAATACAAACCAGAGCGCATACACTTTACCATTGGAATGTTAACAACACATTAACATTCCAAAAGGTAAAATGGCTCTGGTTTGTATTTTTAGATTTTTATCCTTGCCTGCTTGCAAAGAAGTGGATGAATTAAGAGCTTTTGTACCTGTAGAAGATTCTGCAGAACTGGTTTTCCTTTCACTGTCACTGATGTCTTGTAAGTCAGACAAAAGATCCCTCACATCTGGTCTATCCTCTTTCACTGAGGGAAGAAAAAAATTAAACTTCACTTTTAAAACACTAGCAAAAAATGTCTTACTACAGCACAGATTGGAGCTACCAGAGTAAACAAGCATTGTGTTAAAAGTACAGGACATTTTTTGGTTTAACTAGAATTTCTCTCTCCCCTACTTTCAAAAATATGTTGAGACCTGGTTCACAACCGGGCGTTTTAGAGCGCGTTCCTACGCTCTGTAAAACGCTCAACATGTGAAAACCAATGATTGCCTATGGGCATGGTTCCCACCTGGGCGTTTTACAGCGCGTATGGACGCGCTGCGAAACGCCCTACGCCCAAAGAAGTACAGGAGCTTCTTTGGGGCGTATTTGCCACGCGGATCCATTGGGATACAGCCAAGTAGCCCTCAAGAAACGCGTGTTTGTCGCGCGGTAAAAACGCGCTACAAACGTGCATATCCGATACGCCTAGGTGTGAACCCAGCCTAAGAGTGCTAAGGCACCGTATGGCAAAGTATAAAATGTGATCGTGATGGACTAGAGATATAATTAAAGTGACATTAAACCCTCAGATTTTTTTTAACATAAAACAATACTGTAATGTGTGCCTTGCTGTAATCCATGGTAGTTTCCCTTCTCTTTGCTGCTCTTCCTTTTAAATCCATATCTGTTCTCATGCTGGGGAGAACTTCCCTTTGCAGCAGACTGCCTTGCCTCTGGAATGGATACATGGTGTCTGTGTGCAGGTTCACAACCCGAGCCAGCACTACAGGAAGAGGCACTCAGCTGCAAAGGGAAGTTCTCCCCCAGCATGAGAAGACATGAGGATTTAAAAGGAAGAGCAGCAAAGAGAAGGGAAACTACCATGGATTACAGTAAGGCACACATTACAGTAATGGTTTAGGTTAAAAAATCTGAGGGTTTAAAGTGACATTAAACCCTCAGATTTTTTTAACATAAAATAATACTGTAATGTGCGCCTTACTGTAATCCATGGTAGTTTCCCTTCTCTTTGCTGCTCTTCCTTTTAAATCTGTATCTGTTCTCATGCTCTGCAGAACTTCCGTTTTGCAGCAGACTGCCTTGTCTTAGGAATGGATACACGATGTCTGTGTATAGATTTTTATAGGCTTGAAACCTGAGCCAGCACTACAGGAAGAGGCCCTGAGCTGAAAAGGGAAGTTCTCCCCAAGCATGAGCAGACATGAGGGTTTAAAAGGAAGCGCATAATATCCATCAGTGTCCCCTGTCCTGCCACAGTGCACATCTCCCTATCTGCCTGCCTACCTTTCTCTGATTCCAGCAGACTGAACTATCTGGACTGGAGAGTACAGTAGATACAGCGGCGGATTGATATCTGCTGTACTCTCCAGTGCAGGGCGGGAACTTTAACTTAATTGTCGGGCGCCGCGGCTCCTGATATTAATGCGCCGGCCGAAAGTGAGGAAATAGTCCCCTCTCTCCCCGGGCCATACCACTCTTTCGGAGAGCCCGGGGGAGGCCGGGAGAGAGGAGACAGTTTGACATTATGAGGTTCCACAGGCTGAACCACAAATTCCCCCTCTAGTTCTCTCTAATGCAGATGGGCCGGTCAATGCAGACATGACGCCGCGACCCACTGCAGAGGGTTTCGCGACCCACGAGTTGAGAACCACTGCTTTAAGGGATAAAACTACTTTCATAAAGTTATCCTTCAATTCAACCCTGTTTCATTCAAGCCGTAAAAACAAAGCAGGTGCACTAGACTTAGAGGAGTTTACTGCATCTCTTACACTTTAAGAATGAATTGCTCCTCGGTGTCTGCTGCTCTAGGTCAGCAAGTGTTGGTTTTAAAGCTTGTTAACTGCTTATTAAGAAAATGTAAATATTTTACTGTCTCTAGCCTGCCCACAGATCTACTGTGGGACTCACATTTGCTTCCTTGACAACTTCCCAACCTCACCCACTTTCAGGGGGTCCCTTAACTCTGGAAAAAACTGTGACCTGAAGTTCAGGCACGATAACTATATTTAAATTATTGCAAAGCCAAAGTTGACTGGTTCCACTAAAAAAAAAGTCCACACCTTCAAATAATAAGGTCCTGTTCATGGAGATCTATAACTGGTCACTGTGGTATTATTTATGACCATGCTCAAGTTACTGAACATAGAAATATACAGGTATGAGAGCAGTAACAATGGAACTGGCATACGATTTAAAACCTGAAAGTAATTGAAACTTACTTTGCTTCCTTCCTTCCGCTCCTTCTAGTTTATCACGTGCCTGTCGCAAGGGGCTGCGAGCGCGATAGTTGGCTTTTGATTTGTCTCCATGCTCCTCCCTGGCGGTTCTATGATGAGCTGTTGCTGTAGAATGATAAGCCACCAGAAAAGTAAATATTAGAAGCATTAAGGTACAGAGGTACAGCCAGGTAGACCAACAGTACTGTGTTTAGCAGACTCAGACTGCCCAATTACAAAATTTAAAGGAGAACTATGAGGCGAGTGAAAATCACTCAGCCTCATAGTTCTATCCGACCTGTGACAATGAAACTGTCACAGGTTGGCTCAATAGATCGGGAAGTGAGCGAACACATACCGTCGCTCGCTCACTTCTCGATCCTGTCCCTACAGAAAACCGTGACTGTCAGTCACGGCTCCCTGCAGGGATTCCCTCCCTCCCCTGTCCGATCCTCCAGCGCTGACTGGCGGAACGGACAGGGGAGGGTACAGTTGGCTCTGCCTCTAGATAGGCAGAGCCAGCTGTCACTCACGCAGCTGGGTGGAGTGACAGTAATGTCGGGATCTGTCCCAGCTGCGGCGTCTCAGTATACTGAGCTCTGGGTGACGGGAGGACACTAGTATGTGTCCTCCCGTTACCCTTAGGAGAACTATGGGGAAAAGCCCTGACCCCATAGTTCTCCTTTAAACACTACACTACTACTTCCTACACATCAGTTTAAGATGGAGATGCCCTTTAAGAACTGCCAAAGACAGAATAGTGTTAGGCAGTTTACTATCTGGTAACTTTAGAAAACTGCTTCTTCTGCAAGTATGTTGTTCAAGCAGTTCCAGATGAAACATCTAGTCTTTCTCAGTGCTGCATTCAGTAAATGGTAGAGCTGCAGCTAACGATTATTTTCAAAATCGATTAGTTAGCCGATTATTAAGTTCGATTAATCGGTTAATCAATAAAAAAAAAAAATTTTTCGATTATAATCGATTATGTCGATTAGTTGTTGCAGCCCTAGTAAATGGCTTGCCCATTTTCCCTAAAGATAAGAGATTGACTGAACACTGGTTTCAAGAGATGGACTGGCTGCCTTAGTTCCTGTGTAGAATGCAAGCAATGCACATAGCACTAGTTATGTACTGAGATATGCAAATCTTTCCAATCTATAGTGAAAGGTGCTGAGTACTGCACACCAAACAAACTTGTGGGTAAAGTGGAGTGGAAGGGATGCAAATCTGTGCCATTTACTATAAATGTTTATTTCTGAAAAAAGATACACAAAGGTAAACAAATGAAAGCCTCCACAAAAAGCCTTTAAGGCCGCTAAAAAGAATAATGTAAAAGAGATCCTATACAAAAAAAGCCTAGAAGGCCCTGCAAAACAATGATGAAAGAAAATCAATACTAAAACGTTAAGGCCCTGGAAAAATAATAATAAAAAGAACCTATACTAAAGCCCAATAGGGCCCTGGAGAATAATAAAAAGAGCCTATAAGAAAGGCCAGTAAGGTCCTGGAGAACAATGATGAAAGATAATCAATCCAAAATCCACCAATAGACTGACGAGGTAATAATATCTATTTCATTTTCTTTGGCTCCTTAAATTATATTCATACTGTGGCCAGCCATACTCCCCCGTTATACACCAACTAGGACAATAGGCAAAAGCAAATAGGCACCAGAAAAATGTTTCAGTGTTCTTGGCATTGCCTATAGTCATCTTCAAGCTAAGGGCATAGGAAGTGTCCATATAGGACATCAGAGGTAAAAAGCAGTTAGCACCCTGAGTCAAGAAGCAAGCAGTGTAGGAAATACAGCCTGGTACAGAACCTTGTGAGTGGTCAGTGAAGAAGAAGCAGCACACTGAAAAGGCCATCCTCCTGAGAACATATTTCCCCTTCTCCCTGTCTTCGTGCTGTTGTGCAGGATATTACAGGAGGCTGCTATACCTTAAGTATAATTATCCACTTTATAAAAATCAAAGTGGATTGTCATTGAAGGGAATGAAGCTTTGCTTTACATAAGGCAAAGCAGAGTAGGGATCCATCAATCACATTTCATACTCAGCTGAACTACTAGAAAAGCCATGAAGAAGGACATGCAAAGTTCATGTTTATGCATTAAAAGTGAAGTGGACCAGCACCATGCTCCCGTTAAGATGTAAAAAAAAAAAAAAAAAAGAAGGTTTTTAAATTATTAAACATACTCTTGTGATCTGCTCCCCCCTGTTGTGCTACATGACTACATAGCACAAGGGGGGGTCACAACTCTTGTCAGACCCTGCAAACTATGCCACTGCCCTTCCTCCTTCTGGGCTACACTGGACATGAGCACACTGACATCCACCCTACGCTCTCCCCTTGTAAGCCTTCATTACTTTCCCATTTCTCCCATAAACGTACAGAGGGGACGCTACAAGTGCAAGGCTGAATTCAGTTTGTAGCTGGTGTGAAAAAAGCTCATCAGCAACACAGGTTTCAGCAAGTATTCTCGGCTTGACTGAAAACGAGCTCATGTGGTTTGAATACACTCGGTGCCTTGCAGAAATATTCAGATCAATTCTAACCTAAAATCTTGTTCTCTGTTTTGTTTTTTTTTCCATTTCAAAGTACACGTTGAGAAGAAATGCGCCATTGATTTACGTTAAAGGAAAACTGAAATAAAGCTATCTGCATAAGTATTAAATCATCATTCCCTTACATGACAATGTTTCTCAAATTCTGACCAAAGGGCATCATGAGTTCCTTCTGGGGGTGCCCATGTACTCTTTAAAACACAGCTATTTTTATTCATTGCACTTCATACAAGTGCACCAGTGTTTTTGAGAGTAAAGTAAAGAGACTGCCATTGCTGACCTCCCCTTCACATGATCTTTTCCAAACAGTATCCTGCAGGCTCAAAGTAGCTTTCACTCTGATAAATCAGACCAGGAACATTTAAACACTGGGATACTGTTTGGTAGGCTTTCTTAATGCATGCATTTGTATTACATTAGCATGTTAACATTCTTTCATGCTAAAGCGTATCTGAAGACAAAAGCAGAAAAACGCAATATATTGCAACTTACCAATCCTTAGATGTGGTGCTGCATACAATGGTTACCTTTTATTCATTTATGTGAGACCTTTTTCCCAAAAAGAAAATATATTTTTGCTGGAACTGCTTAAAAAGTGTTAGATGGAGTTTGAATTTAATTTGTTAGTCAAGTCCATCGAACTGGTGAATCTAACACTACCTTCTCCACAGAATGACAATGCTGCTGTCCTAGGGGGGCTCTGTTGTTTTTCCATAGAGTGGAGCCACCCTAAAGCTGGCCATACACCTATAGACTATCTGCAGAGTTTCTATGGTCAGATGAAAAAAGTGCAACAGATTCTTCCATCTACGCTAAACTGTGTGTATGGGGGAATCTCCCACTGGGCCAAGCTTCAGTATCTTGCTAGTCGACCCGCTGGCTCTCAAAATCCCTAAACAATGCCTGCATCCAATCAGATTGTTCAAGTGTTTTGAGAGCCAGCGTAGCCGACTAGCAAGATACTGAAGCTTGGCCCAGTGGGAGATTCCCCCATACACACAGTTTAGCGTAGATGGAGGAATCTGTTGCACTTTTTCCATCTGACCATAGAAAGATAATATGCAGATAAATCTTTCTATGGTATGGTTTCTATATGATATATGCAGATAATCTATAGGTGTATGGCCAGATTTAGATAGGAAATGTGTTACTACCCAGATCACCAGGTGAAAATGAAGGATAAAAAAAGAACACTAATGCAGCCACATTTAAAGATTGGTAAGCTGCAATAAATTATTTTTGTTTCTTGGTTTAGATCTGCCTTAAGTGAGGGCTGGACAAGTCCCAGGAGCAAGGCAGCCAATGCTCCTTAAAATTAACAGTTGGTGCCTAACTTGTGAAGTTTCCTCTAGTTGTTGTCCATTGAGTTGGCTGCTAGAAATATCCTGCCGGCTCCTAGAAATATCCTGCCGGCTCCTAGAAATATCCTGCCGGCTCCTGAATTCCATATTAATTTGTCCAGACCGGCTTTAGGCGCATGCATGCTAAGTAATGATTACCTTTCATAGAGATCACAGTACTGCCACTGACAATGAGGCTGATTTACTAAAGGAGCGGAGACTCGTCATTCAAATTGTAGCGTTGTTCACTCTGAATACCCAATCTTGTAGAGATGAAACGGAAAAACGGGAAAAAAAATCTGCTTTTCACATAATGGTGAAATGTTGCAGTCTGTTCACTGAAGGAGACTGAGAAATGTTTTCTCCTGACTGCAGAAGACTAATGACATCTCAGCCTAAGCAACATCACTTGACTGGAGCTTAAAGTATCTATAGCCACAACTTTTTTCTTTATTTTGGTTGGAATGGGGAAGGATTAGAAATACTGTGAGGGTTTTACTGAAGTGAGAGGCTCTATTGGAGGTTCCTTTCACTTTCTGTCTGGTGAAAAGTTTGTTCCCAGCATGGGAAGTGATAGGAAATCCGCAACACAGACAGAAATAGAAGTGTTTTTTTTTAAACTTACGGATTAAATAACTTACAATGGATTACGTTCCTTGGTGTTTAAACCTTTAAGGTTCCTGTAGAATCAGCTGGTCCCCTGAGCACTGTCCCTGATATCCTGTTTTAGAGTGGTCCCTTTTCCTTGCAGGGTGCTATGGAGCCACCCTTATGTGTGTGCTAGTAAGCTGTGTGTGTCTCCACGATCACACTGGCACAGCAAGGCAAGACACTCCCCTGCTCCCCGCTTCTCCAGACAAGTACATGGATAGCTACTGGCAACTGCACTGTCCCGTGATCTTGTACCGGACCGGAAGTTCAGGGAAGTCGGGCTGAAATAGGAGGGACCAGCTGTTTGGAAACATGATGGCTGTAAGTGCTTTGGTGAACATAAAAAGACTGATGGGCAATGTACATTTCTTTGATATGGATTCATTATTGAGTGGGTATTTTGTTGTGTTTTGGGGCATTTAATTCCATTTTTCACTAAATATTGGGGTTTAATAAGGAGTTGCGCTAATATTGCGCAACATAAAAATTTGCAACTACCACCATTTTATTCTATAGGGTCTTGGCATTCAGAAAATATATAATGTTGGGGGGTTTTAAGTAATTTTCAGGCCTAAAATGTGGAATATAACATGGGTACAAAAAATGAAAAAAAGGCCTCAGTCATGAAGGGGTTAATTATATTTCCAGTAGGAGAATTCTAGGACCTCTGCTAAATTTTTATTGTCGTCTGATTCCCTGTTGCAGGTTTTTCCTCACTTCCTGTTTTGTAAAAGATTGTTCTCAGAATAGAAAGTCAAGGGAAATCTCTCTAGCAGAGTCCTGTATAGCAGTAAAACCTAACAAGGGTTCTAACTAGGACTTCCACTAATGATTATTTTCATAATCAGTTAGTTGGCCGATTTTATTTCGATTAATCGTATAAAAAATTAAATAGCAATCCTTCATTTCAATTAAAATAAAATACACAAATGCGTCACAAACATAAAGTTTGCTTATTTTGCAATTGCTCTGCACTGGAACGCACAGCATTGAGGTACAGTGAGGGCGATCACACTGTAGGTGGGAGGCGCGTTTGGGGTGCCATTGAAATGAATGGCACTGCAAGGTACCACCAGCTGCAGAATTTGTCAGTCTCAAACCGAAAATTACTTCCCCCCACCCCCTTTATCATTTTTTTTTTAATTAACGGTATTGTAATCACATGGCGCTTGAATAGCTTCAGCCGGGGAATGACGGCTGCCAGTGGCAGGATTAAACAGAATTAATGTAAATACAGCAGGTTGTGGGCTGGTGCAATAGCAGGCTGGTTATTGCACCCGCCCACTGTTTGCTGTGCCCTCCTCCCAGCATGGAGGAGAGAGCTAGGGGATCCAACCAACTAATCGATGAGAATAGTTGACAACTATTCTCATTATGGATGATTATGAGAATGGGCCCTAGTTCTTACCTTTCCCCATTCTATCCCAGAAATTTGGGATATACAAGGAAGGCTTTTTAATGATAAAAAGTAGAGCGTTACTGTAATATTGTGAAACGCAGGCTTGTCAAGAGTCAACTTCAATAATTCATCATTGGAGGCCAGGGCATTGTTAGGCAACTGTTTTTCACCGGTGTAGGCTGAAGAAATTCCACAACGAAGGGCCCATTCACAGCAGTGTGTGGAGGCAACACATGAGAAAATATGTTTTTTGATCTGCCCATTACTGCAAAGCAAAGCACGGTGTAATTAATTATGGTGCCATAATGGCACCCCTATGCAACACTCCAACTCACTGAGGTGTGCTGCATTAGAAACATTGCTTTAAGTCCACCTTCTGTATGCTGCAGAGCTTTGGCAGCCCATTTCAAATTGTGTGCACGGGCCCTTATACAAACATCATCACTCAGATTTTTTTTTTTATATCGAAAAACATTTTCATATAAAAATTCAAAGCTTTGAAGCTTTAAAATATCAGAGAATAACATTTCGTATATAAATGTATTATTTAAGAAACAGAGAGACTGGATCAAGGGTGTGAATACTTTGGCAAGGCTCTGCGTGCAAAACAAATAGTGTTTTATTTATTTGCCCGGAGGAGTTCTGTATAAAGCTATGTTCACACAGTCCGGACCAGATCTGCAAATGCAGTGCGTTTGTGACGCATTTTTAAGGCAGGTTTTTTGTAGCTTAAAATGGGCTTCCAGGTGCAATTAATTGTGTTTGCGTGCGTTTCCATGTGTTCCAGACCAGAGAAAATGAGACGAGCAGTATTTTTTTTTGTCGGGACCCGAACCGACTGCGCCGCTGTGAACAGAGCCCAGAAATACCATAGGGATACATTGGGATGCTTTTTTGGTCCGTGAACAAACTGTTCTGGTCTGGACATGGTGTGAACAAGCCCTTAAAGGGTACAACACATTGCAGGAGTTGTTTAAGGTTATTGCTGTATAAAATAGTTTTAGAAAGCCAGAACTTACTTTGAGTGCTAAACTCTACAGTTATTCTTGAATCTGCATAGTGTACATCGTACTGCATTTTCTCAGCCTCTTGCAAGAGCCCTGGCTTCCTGCGCTGAGGAAGCGCAGATCCTTCTGGCCCTGGAAGGCATGTTGTACAGGTTGGTATAACTAAACTGGCAGCTGCAAGACTAGGAAGTTACATGCTTTAAAAGAATGTAGAAGAGGCGTTTACCTTGCAACAAATAAAACTGTATATAAGCCACAAAAAATATCCTTTGGGTGATGAGGAACTGCAAGTCCCAGCATACCGTAATATTTGTTATTATGTAATCAGTAGACATTCATTGAAGACTACAGTTTGTGTATTTTGGATGTTGTGTTGTGTCCCACCACCTAATACGTTAATTCACCAGGTTAAATTCTAGAATGAGTGAGCATGAAAGCTGTTCTAGCCTGTGCCCGGTCACATCTTGCCAATCTGTGTCAGAGACACTGATCGAAAGTGGTATAAGCCTATGTGGCATATGTTGTAAGCTGCTGTTTATAACAACCAAATTCTATTTTCCACATGATCCCTGGTGGCTGATATGGTGGGTTTAGTTTTGATTTTGCACCTATTTTCATAAACTAATACAAGAGCAATAAATGCCTGGCATGGGATCTCAGAGGGAGTGGTGATCTCGCCCCTTTATATCATGAGTGCTTTGTCCTAAGCCCAAGCATTGCATCATGGGAGGAGGTTACATGCTCCTTCATACCTAAAAGCACCAGTACTTTGCAGTGACCACAGAAGGAAGAGCAGCAGCGGAGTGCAGGAGAGGGGAGTATGGGTTGGGTGGAGGGCAGGTTTACACAGACCCTGTCACTGTGTCCTAAATGGGAACGGTGACCGTGTCCAAGTAGGCAAGAGCTGGGTTTTGTAACCAGAATGCTCAGTAATATCAGGTGCCCCATTTCAGGAATGGCCACAATAGCAGTGTTGTGAGCCTTTGTGTTCTTCCTACAAAGCCAAAAAAGTCACTCTGACTCCACTTCAAATTATAGTCAATCTTCTTTATTGATCATAGTAGTGTCACATTGCTAAGCAATGTTTCTGAACCATGTGGTCCCTTCTTCGGCCAAACAAAAGTGTTTTTTTTTTACTTTATTGTTTGCCTTAAGAAGGGACCACATGGTTCCAAAACGTCGCTTAGCAATGTGACACTACCATGGTCAATAAAGACTGACTATAATTTGAAGTGGAGTGACTTTTTGACTAGTTACATTTGATTGGAAGAGGCATCTGTAGTCACTCCAGCAGCCGCCCGACTCTTGTGGGATTTCCGATCAGGAGTGCAATGGGATCTACTATGTATTGAACTTCCTACAAAGCCTTCATCCTTCACAATATGTCACTGTGGCTTCATTAGGCTACTATATGACCAAATACACAGTGGGCAAGTGGAGGAACAAGCATTTCAACCAGTCAGTATGGTCTGGCACAGAGAGGGTGGTTATAATCAGGAATTCACTTTACTGGCCATATTAACAATACAGGGGGAAAAAAGGTCTCCGTTAAGGAATTAGGCTAGCAATTCTCTATTAAAAAATGACACTAATTTTAAGATTCATAATGTATACATTTTTGGCAGCCCAGGACGTAGTCAAAGAACTAAATTCTGATTTGAAGGCTGAGTGGTAATATATTATTCATTGCAGGATGCCAAAAACTGAATATTTGTGAGATTATGCATAAATAACTAAGAACCCTACATACAGAAAAGCAGAGTCTTGCAATTAGGAATATATCTATATGAAATCTGCCCTAACTCCTATCAGTTTGACCCTGACTGTAAACAACCCGCATTGCGAAAAGGCCTACCATCATTTCTTTCTGTATTTCAATATGGGTACAGCTGTCTGAATGAGGCCAGACAATTTGAGAAGCTAGCCCTATAGACCATGCCTAAAGAAAAAGTATTTGCCAAAATAGAAAGTTAGCATACCTTCTCTCCTTGCCTCTCGCTCTTTGCGTCTCTCTTCTGCTCTCCTCTCTCTTTCTTTAGCCTCCCTTTGTTCTTTCAGCTGTTCTCTTGTTTTCCTCTCACGCTCTCTATTTCGTTCCAGTTGTTCCAGTCGATCCCTAAAAATATTAAATCAACCTCTAAAAAATTTGATATTCACAGTTAGACAAAAAAAGGTAAACGTTACACTGCACGGACTAGCACCAGAAAACACAATACACAGAAACAGCAAATCATGTGAAGACCACACAGTGGCATGTACGTTGAAATAATGGGATTTTGTTTTCACCATAAAATCCTTTTCTCGGAGTCCACTGATGGACACAGCTCTTAAGAATTCGGATATGTAGGGTTATGCTGCTGCCTCAAGGAAAAATGGACACCAGGCAAACAAAAAATTAAAAGCCTGCCACTTTAAGGACATAACCGCTCCCACCTCACACCTGCCAATTCTAGCAAGCAGTATATAAGGAAATAAGGGGAGGGTGCTGTGTCCTCCGAGAAAAGGATTTTATGGTAAGAACAAAATCCTTATTTCTCGTGTCCATTGAGGGACACCATTCTTAAGAATTCTTAATTTAATTAATTCTTAAGAATTCTGATACATAGGAATATTCAAAAGCAGTTCAAAACAGAGGGGCAGGCACCATTAACACCAGAAGAACCAGTTCAACAAAGTTTATAAAACTTTGCAAAAGTGTGAACAGAAGACCAAGTTGGGGCCTTGCACATTTGAGTAGCAGAAGCTTGATTTTGAAACGCCCAAGAAGTACATATTGCCCTAATAGCGTGAGACGAAACAGGAAAAGGAGGTACCTTGCCCGCCAAACTCATAAGCTTGAATGACAACCTGACGAATCCACAATAGTGGATCTAGAAGCCAAGTAACCTTTTCTAGGACCTTCTGGAAGAATAAAGAATCTGAACATAGAAAAAGAAGCTGTGGCACAACAAACAATGAAGAGAAGGTTCCTTAGGATGAACAGAACGGAGAAAGTGAAGGTAAAACAACGTCTTCATTTAAATGAGAAGCTGAAACTGCCTTGGATAAAAAGGAAGCCTACTGTCTCAAAACAACCTCGTCATCAAATATGGTTTTCTACAAGACAAAGCGGACAGCTCGCAAACCCTTCGAGCTGAGGTGGTTACAAGAAAAGCAACCTTTTGGGATAACAAAGACAAAGAAATGCCTTGGCTAGGTTCAAAAGGAGGTTTATGTAGAACAGATAAAATCAATTTCAAAGTCCCAGAGAGGAAGACTGAACAGGAGGAGCTACACTGTTAACTCCCTCAAAAAAAAGTACGGATCAAGGCGTTAGAGGATGTTGAAAAAGGACCTACAAGGCAGATATCTAACCCTTTATGGTACTTAAAGCTAAAAGTTAAATCAACCCCCAGTTGAAGAAAAGACAAAATTCACGATATAGAAAAAGCGCGTGGGGAAAACCTCCGAGAACTACCACCAAAGGAGTAAAAAACTTTCCACGTGCAGTGATAAATTTTACGAGTAGAAGACCTTCGAGCCTTAAGCCTAGCCAGAGCTCAAAGATTCTGAAATTTCTGTGTCTTATAACACTTAGGTTTCAACTGCCAGCGATGGAGAAGCCAGGTGGAAGATTGGATCCAGAGACAACAGATCTGGTCGATTTGGAAGAAGCCAGGGAATGTCTGCCAGCAGATGAACCAGGTCTGCATAACACAACCTGCAACGTCAATCTGGAGCGACGAGAATAATTGAAATTCCTTTGATCCTGAAAACCAGACGAGGCAACAGCGTCAGTGGAGGAAAAGCAAACATTAGCGTGTACTGATCCCAGAGAGCTACCAAGGCATCCGCTGTTGGATCCCTCGCTCTGGAAACAGATCTGTTCACCTTTTTGTTGTGAAGAAGCTAGAAGATCTACAGCCGGCATTACCCAGCGCTACCAAAGTTGTTGAAACACCTCTGGATGGGGAGACCATTCTACTGGATCCAGACGTTGTCTGCTGAGAAAGTCCGCCTGACCGTTTTCTACTCCTGGAATGTTCTCCGCTGAAACAAGAAGATCCGCTCAAGCCAAGATCGAATGAACTTCCGCTGACACACTTCTGGCGATTGAGGTAGGCCACTGCTGTGGCATTATCCAAATGAATCGGAACTGGACAACCATTCAGAAGACGGGTCCAGTGAAACAAGACCAAGCGAATCGGACATTCCAGGACATTTATCGGAAGTTTGGATTCCTCCAGAGATCAACAACCCTGAACAGAAAGATGGAGGGCTGCAACTAACGATTATTTTCATAATCGATTAGTTGGCGGATAATTTTTTCGATCAGCTAAAACAAATTAATCAAATACCATCTTTTATTTAAAATGAAATACACAAAATGGAGTGTTACAAACAAAGTTTATTTCAGAATAAAATTACATGCACATTTTTTGAAATCGCACCACACTAGAACGCAGCTTTGCAGTACCGTGCATTCCAGTGTGGCCGATCACACTGTGGGCGGAGGTGCATTTGGGGTGCCATTGAAATGAATGGCACCACAACCTACATCCTGCAGCAGAATGTCAGGTCGAAAAAAAAAAAAAACTTTTCCCACGTTTTTAAAATATTTTTTTCTGTTTTCGTTGTATGTGCACGTTTGTGGCGTCTGCGGACTTTACACTTTTTTGGGGGTATTTTTTTTATTTTATTGCTATCACATGGAGGGGCTCGCAAGCCCCCTATGTGATAGCACATTGGAGGTGACAGGTTCTCTTTAAGGTGACATTAGGGGTCTATTATCACCTTTCCACTTCACTGAGGAATGACAGCTGCCTGCTGAGGCAGCTGAATGTAAACACAGCAGGCAGAGGTTGGGAGCAACAGCCTGCCTGTTATTGGCTATTTTAAATTGCAATAGCCAATAGCAGGCTGGCCATTGCACCCACCCACTGCCTGCTATCAATCAGCAGAGGAGGGAACTGAAGCAGAAAGTTCTCCTTCAGGTCCTCCTCTGCTGTTTGACAGCAGGCAGTGGGCGGGTGCAATGGCTATTGTTCCCAGCCGCTGGATGGGAGACATGACACCGGGGGAGGGGGCACGGGGAGCATTGGAGCTACGGGGGCAATAGAGGAGGCACGTCGCACATCAGCGGGGGAATGAAGGGGCACAGCAGAGGGGAAATGCAGGGGCACATCGGACTCTACTCCGCGCTGGGTGCAGCGGTCTGTGTTCCCTCTGATGGAAGGGGACACGGAACGCAGCATGCATCGACTCCCAACGAAAAAGAGAATGAATGAGCAGAGCAGTGGCGGGGGGGGGCGTTCAATTAATCGGAATCAACTAATTGATAATGAGAATCGTTGACAAGGATTCTCATCTATTAAACTGATTCGTTCTTGCAGCCTTAGCCATATGATACACAGCCCCATCCCATAAGACTGGCCTCCTTCATGACAATCTTCGAATCCATGGTAAGTGATGACTTTCCCATTTTCAACACAGGCGACGTCAAACACCATGACAGAGACATCCTGGCAGGGACAGGATGAGCCCCAAAACATTAGTGCAAGTTCTCAGAGAGGATCAGTGACGGAACCAAAGTGACCGGACTTGATCCCACAACTTCAATACTTTGTTCTGAGGAGGGAACACCTTTTGCTTGAAAGGTATCCAACAGAAGACCCAAGTACTCCAAGTGATGTGACGGAACCAGGGACAATTGCTAGATGTTCAGAATCCACCTGAAGATCTCTAAGGTCCGCAGCATTGTTGTGAAATTGGGCTTCAAAGTCAGAAGAGACTATTCTAGAAGTAAAAGGTCATCTAAGTATCTGTTACTCGGAATGTCCTTTGCGACAAAATAATCCCAGAACCAGGGCAAGATCTTTTGTAAAAATTAGGGATGCACCGATACAGGTTTTTCGGTATCGATAGTCATATTAAGGAAGCCAGGTGGCCTTTAATGACTTGCCCACCCAGCTTCCTGATTAGCCGGGCGGCATGTAATGACTCGCCGACTGGTTTCCGGATTAGCTGGGAAGCCGTCGCCAGGTGACGAGGAAGCATGGAGCCGGCTTTCTGGCCAATCAGGAGTCGGGCCTTTAATGACTCATGGCCTGGCTTCCCTTCCAATAAGGAAGCCTGCTCCATGCTCCCTCGTCACCAGGTAACGAGGAAGCATGGAGCCGGCTTTCTGGTCAATCGGGGAGCCGGGGTAATGACCACGAGTCGTTACCCACCGCCTGACTTCCTGATTGGCTTATTGGCCAGGAAGCAAGCTCCGTGCTCCCTAGTGACGTGTAATGACTAGCTGCCCGTCTTCCGTATACCGGAAGTTTAGGGAGCATTTGGGCAAGTACTAGTATCGGTGCATCCCTAGTAAAAACCTTTGGAGCCAAAGCCAACCTGAAGGGAAGAGCCACAAATTGATAATGGGGGGCACCTACCAGAAAACGAAGGAAACGCTGGTGAGCTGGAAATACAGGAATGTGCATATACGAATCCTTTATGTGAAACCAAAACATTTCCTCGTCGAAGAGGGGAGGCAGCCGACCGAATGGATTCCATCCGAAATTTGTAAATATGTACAAACGCATTAAGTGCTTTTAAATCCAGAAACGGGTAAAGGCCTCCATTTGGATTGGGAACCAGAAACAGATTTGAGTAAAACCCTTTAAAATGCTCTGTGCAGGATCGGGAACAGTGACACCCTGATCCATTAATGGTGTGAAAAAGCTGTCCGACGCTGCCGAGACAAAAAGTGGACTTTTCTGAAGTCTTGGAAGATATGGATTGCCAAGGATGTCTAGAGGGTCTCCAAGGCTTGGAATTGTCAGATGTCTTGAGATTGGGAAGGAAATCCGTTTGGAGGAATTTAAGGAACATTTTAAAGATGGAAAAGAAGGAGCAGGCTTACGACGTTGATCTCTATTCTGCATCTGAGGCAAGTGCTCACTTTTATTCCCGTAGCCGATTTAATAATAGTATCCAGTGAATCCCCAAAAAGTCGCTTGTCTACAAAGGGTACACGCAAAAGTTATTAATTTTTTTACATTGGGGTTTTGCCGACCAGCACTTAAGCCAGAAAGCTCTGTGACTCTGAACGCAAGATACAGACACCTAAGGCAACAGATGACAAGCATCAAGAACCGCATCACATATGAAATGCGAAGTGACAGTCATCTGATCAACATGATCGATAAAATGTGGATCAACTCCAGAAGAAGTCGCCTGATCACCACGAAGAGATTTCGTCCAAGTGATATTTTTGTAAAAAGAGAAGAAAAATTAGGGATGCACCGATACCATTTTTTCAAGTACAAGTACTTTCCGATAACAATTATCGATACTTTTTCTTAAAAGGACATGTGACATTTTTTCTAAAACAATACAGACTAATAATTTTAGGGGAGTTACTTTATAATTATGAAGAACTGCAACGTAATCCATGAATCCAATAATTTTAATCAAAAATGTATTTAACTGTGCTAACAAGGGCTTATCATTGGTCAGTGCGGTCACCTGACTGATGTAATTTGTGAGTGAAATTAAAAATCCATAGTGCAGGGCTGCACTGGACAGCAGTATGGGGTACACATAGTACACCAGTACCAGCGGAGGGGAAGAACCGTTTGCCAAAAGGCAAGTATAGCGGCGAGTGCCAGATTTAGACACGCAGTTCCATTTTCCCAAATTACTTGGGAAAGTGAACTTACCCTTCAATGTGCATTGTGTGCGTGTTAGAGAGCGCTGCTGCCCCACTATCACAATATGGCACACAGTGGAATGAGGGCAGCACTCAGCACACACACACAATGCCCTACGCATGCGTTTATTTGCACGGTGGTGGTGGGGGGGGGGGTTGGTTTTTATTGATTTGTATTTATTTTATAAATTTTGTTTTTAACTTTTATCACTTTTTTTACCTTTTTCACATTTTGATTTCATTATTTTTTTAAAATGTTTTTTGCATTTTTATTACTTTTATTTTTTTATCACTTTTAAAAAAAACAAAAATTTAACTTAACTTTATTGATATCACACAGGGGCTTTTTATCACTTTTTTACTTTATTGTTTTGGTTTATTTTTTTCCCCTTTTTATTTTATTATTTAATCCTATTTAACTTTTTTTTTTTTGGTTTTCACTTAACTTTATTGATATCACACAGGGGATAACAATCCCCTATATGATTACATTCGGAGGTGACAGGTTCTTTTTATGAGCCTGCCCTCCAGTACAGAAAACTGAGCACAGCATTGTGCTTTATCTTCTGTAGAGCTCAGGGTGTGACAGCCGACACAGGAAGGGCTGTGAATACAGCGCTCCTGTCACTAATTACACACAGCAGAGCGGAGAATGGACGTGGGGGGGACGAACCAGCAGGCTGCTCTACAACTGATCCGGGTGGATCACTTGTACTAAACGAGCAGCCCGATGTTTTTTAAAGTTTAAAGCGCCGGCATCGGCGCTATGTATCGGGGCATTTTCACAAGTACTCGTGAAAATGCCCTGTATCGGCACCGATACTAGTATTGGTATCAGTGCATCCCTAAAAAGAATGCTTACTGGAGATATGTTTATTACACGGCCTTTAAAGTGTAACTTCACCTTTAGTGCTGTTACAGTTACTGGGGTGCACCCTCCCCCCCCTCCAAATGATATACTCACCTTTCCACGGTCCGTTGAGACCTTGGCTGTGCATCCTCCTCAGCACCGGACAACCTATCCTCATAATCTTCTCCAATGAGTTCCGCACATGCATGCCGCAACTTCCTTTCAATCCTATGGAGAGTTTGAAGTACAAATTGGACTGAATTGTTGCTGTCTACATTACATATGGTTGAAGCATGGACTTTGTTATGATCCCACTTGGTCTGACTGGTTAAAGGACAACTGCCCCCTTGTTTTAAAAATCAATATTGTAACGAGCCCAGCACACATATTCATCACAAACAAACGCTAAACCTTTTATCTGCATAAACTAGTTTTATCATGATCTGCCTAACTTAAATCTGTCTCTAAATTCAGCAAAAATGGTGGCCACTTACATTATCACTCACCATACAGGCTCCTGGAGGAATAAGTACACAGGGAGGTCTAATCTTGACCACTTCAAGTCCCAGCATTCAATGAACCCAAGGAAACTCAACCAAGGAATTGGCTTATATGTGGACACGGGACAAAGTGGGGGGCCAACTGTCTTAAACATTAACAAACTCTTGCTTAGTAGATAATGTGAACTTCAACCGAGTGTAATGCCAGAGACAAGTGTAACAACCTGCAAAGGTTGAATGCTGCTAAAACTTCTCAGAGTGTCCACCAATCAACTAACAGGAAGGCGGGACAAACAGATGGGCGAGTTTCCTCAATGCATTGAAAGCTGGGACTTGTAGTGCTTATGATACACACACACAGTTTAAAATTGAGGCAGATTTACTTTAAACAAGGCAAATTCTATCGCCAACTGCCTTCCAGCGATGATATATATCTTAACATCCTACAACAGACACATACCAGCTACATGTTGTATTTATCTTTCATGCCTAGCAATGTTGCCAGGATGCCCCCTGCTATATCTGATTATTCTTCTAGAGACAACAGAAAGTATCAGTGCCATGGCAGGGAAACAGGATCTTGCAGAGATATTTCTCCACAGCAGGCTCAAAAGTCCTCTGACTTTGCACAAAAACTGCGGCAGGAGTTCAAGGTAGATTAAGATCCTTAAACAGGTAAGCTCCCCAGCCATTTTCACTTGTTTTTTTAAAACGCAATAATGTAAAAAAAAAAAAATACAAACAAAGCATTTCTTACAGCTTGACCAGTAATATTAATTTTGTAATTCAATTTTAATTAATATTCATTTTAGTCTCCAATTTATTTTAGGTCAAAACATGGTCAAGCTATTTACATTTAAGGTGTTTTTACAATTTGGAACTGTTTAAGGTTTACCCTTCAAAAAAATGAATAAAATTTAACCGAAAAATATTCAACAGTAAACAAAAAAAAAGCTAAAAGGCGAGCAGGGAAAGGAAGGGGTTAATTAGGAATTGTTAAGGAAAAAATCAGCAAGACTTAAAAGAAAAAAAAAAATAATGTTCATCTAGCCAAACTGTTGTCTAAGAGAATTCCCCTTACAATACTTCATGTCTTTGGCCTTCCTTTATGCCCTGGCATACATTTTCATATAATCTGCTTTGCCCCACACAACAGTCCAGTCTCTCTTACCTTTCTCTTCTGGAATGCTCTCTGGCCAGCTCTCTTCTCTTCTGCCTCTCCCGATCACGGCGTACTTTATCTTGTTCTTCCCGGTGTCTTTTCCGCCTCTCATGCTCTCTGTCCTTCTCCTTCACCCGACCATATTTTCCTTTTCAATGACAAATGACATAACTGTATCGGTCTCTATATAATACCAGCGAGCACACATTCATCTGCTACACACACATTTTCTGCAAACTCGGGCATGAATCAAATACTTTTTTTTATTGCTTTAAAGCAGGATGTCAACTCCCCTGATTACCATACAAAGCAGAAGCTGGGCTTCTAATTATTTAGCCTTTTGTTAAGACAGTGTTCAAATCTAGTTTACAACTGATCCTCATCTCCCTCAGGCCCCCTCCCTGAAATGACAGAGAATGGAACTTCAGTTTTTGAGAAAATGTAAGCAACTATTTTTCTGCTATGTAAAAGGAAACATATGAGGAATATAAAGAAGGTATTATCCCAATTTGGCTGCAAAAGTGAAAATACACTTTAAGAAGAAAGTTCTATGTTAAGCCTTAAAACTATTTTCTTAAAAGTAAAGATGTATGTATCCAAAACTTTTTTTTAGTTGTGGATGGACTAGTGAAGTATTGCAACCCAAGTTTATATTGCTGTTTGTGTCCCACTGGCTAGACACCACCTCTTTATTTGTCCTGGTGACCATTGTTTCCAGTACAGAAAGTTATGGCAGACACAAAATTTTAGAGTTGCCACAGGAAAAAGGACAGGGGAACCTTCAAATAGGGGCACCTGTTCAGAGTAACCACAGGAAAAAAGACAGGGAAACCTTGGGGGGGAACTTGTTGGTATGACAGCCTTAGAGGGGATTCCTCTTTATCAAGAGGAAGACTTCCTGTTGATTCTCCAGAACAGGATATGAGGGGAAATCTCCCCAATGAGTCACACACAGTAAAAAACTGACACATTTTAACCCTTCCTTACTCCGTCCAAAACTAAAGCAGAAAATTTTGGCTATAGATATATTAAGCACCTACACCCCAGAAAATCAGCAAGTAACCAAACTATAACGTACCTCCAGCTCCTTCGGCAGAGTGGCTGCGGTGTCGGCGCTTCTCTTTCCTCTTCTCATCCTTTCTGTGGTGGGATTTTTCTTTCCGGGAAACTTGTTGTGGTGGTTTAATAGCAAGTGAATCATCCTCCTCGCCTCTGGAAAAACATATTTAAAGAAATATTTTAATTGCTGAAACCTTTACAACAGCGTATGGCTGAGATATGTATTTAGTCCTGAATTTGGGTTCTCCTTTAATTAACATGGATAATGGCAAAGAAAGACACACCTGTCTTCCATCGAGTCCTCTCGTCTGTAAGGTGAATTCCGAATAGTGATCTCCATCTTCTGATCTCTCAGCTCTCCTTCCTCCAAGGAATCTCTCTTGGAATCTCGGTCATCAGCCTAACCAATGGATGATAAGAAAGAAATTACAAGCGTATACGTATGTATAAATAGACCTTTCCTCACAAACTTCAGAATGATCAGAACCTATACTATCGATCAAAACTAGAATTTCCACTAAGAGCACATAGCCTGCTCAAGACTCAAATGTAGCCGAGTCCCTTAACCCCCTTGGGATTATTCCTTTTGGACCTAGCACTGCATCCTATTTCATATGCCCTGAGAACTTCAGATTCAATTGAATATTGCCCTTCCAGTTAGGGCACAATGGTCTTCTGAGTAACCACAGCAGTGTGTAAGCCCACAGCCATAGGACAAATCTCCCCTGCTATAATGCAGCTACCCTCTTCCGCTGTGGTTCAACACACCTCCTCCCCCTGCTGCAATTTAGAGCTAGAGCCCTCCAATTAGCAAGGAGTGTGATCTTGGAGTAGAGGGCTGTAGCTCTGACAGACTAGAGGCGTGCTGTACTACAGTGGAGAGGAAAGCCACATTGGTGGAGGCGAGTTATTTCACTATGGTTGTGGACTTCTGTACTACCTATATGACCGGTAAGACTGCTCACTTACCGTTATACTGAATCAGAAAGTTTCAGTCTAGGGTTCAACTGGGCTTTAAGTTAGTACTGAAACAATTCAGCACAGCGGGAAAGTGGGTGAAAGGAATTGCTATTTATTTGCAAGCTGTAGTTTAAAACTACATGCGCTATATGGCTTGTGGAAGCTGCCCAGCCCTGATAGAGGTTGTTGTCATACTTTGACATCATTCAGATCTGATTTATGAAGCACAGGGCAAAAGGCTTACATTTCTATGTTTAGAATCTGCTTTCTCTTCTTGTTCTTTCCGCCTCTTTTTTTCTTGCAAAATCTCATCCAGTGTTTTTACCTTCCAGCTGTCTTTTTCATCCCCCATTTGGAGTAGATCAGTCTGCAAAACAAAAGAATGTGGTAAGCTTTTGCTCTGAATATATATTTTTTTGAAAAGACAAAAGCATGCATCGCATTACAAATTTGATACCCGAGATGCCTCAGAATAAACACAAAGCAAAGATAACAGGAAAGAAGAACACTTTAGAAAATCATTGATTTTAAACTAGCCGTACATGGCTCGAATCAGCAGGAAACTCCCGACATTCGAGTCGTGGGTGGACATGTCAGAGCCACCCAGATCAGCAAAAGTTGATTTCAAAATCAACTGAGCCGGATGGAAAAATTGACTGAGCCAAATCAAAAATTCTTGGCCAAACAGTGAATGTGTCCTATCAGATGCATAAGTTTGAATTTAATAATGCAACCTAAAGAAATAAAAGTGCCTTTGCAGCCCACAGCAAAAAAATGTTTTCCCTTTAAAGGGAAATCTTCACTTTTAGTAAGCTGTCCTTTAAATGTTTAACTCACCCCCTCTAGTGGCACCAACCTACCAAAATAAATACCTTTAGCCCCACTCCTGAGTTACCTCACTGTGCAGCTGGGCCAGAAAAGTCTCAGCCGGCTTTGAATTTGTGCTGCTTGCCCCATTCATTCCTGTTGCTGAGCCCTACTCTTCTGAATGGCTGGGGGGTCACCATTTTGCATGGACCAGCTATAGGAATGAAAGGGCCAACAGTCTGCTTATGAAGCAGGAGCTGGACATGGCCAGGACATTTTTTTTTTTTTTGCAAAGGCTGTATTGTACCGGCCAGGGCTGTAAGAACTCAGGAGTGGCATGGAGGTTAATACTTTTTGTAGATGATTGTCACCCATGGTGGTAAAAGATAAGTTGTTCTTTAAAGGAAACAGACTGGAGTGACTAACTGGACTCTGGATTGGATATACTCATAGCTTAGTTCAGAGCGGAGACAAGCTGCTATTTATTATACCAGCCCGTTGTGGATAGCCCATTCTGTGTGCCAGCTATGGATCATGGACGGTATTACACAGCCACACTCTGAAGTCAGTGGTGATAGTTATTCTAGCAGTTTAGCAGCCTAGATTCTAGAGTTTAGCCTTAGAGGTGTCTTCTCTTTGCTTTTACTCACAGATAAGTGTCACCTATAATCTTGTTAATTGAAATTCGAAACAGAGTCTTTGAGCACTGGACGCACAGTACACCTACACTGTGAAAGCAAAGTGTTTCAGTTGTATGCGTCACTTGCAACGCTACAAGGCCTTTGGTGCTGACTCTCCTATAGATAGCTGTCATAGGAACCAGCCATGCAGCACTCAAAGGAGAATTATGGGGAGATTGAAATACACTCCTCCCCATAAATAGATCCGAGGTGTGACACTGAAGCTGGAACTGAGCGATCACATACCGCTGATTGCCCAGTTTGCGATTCTCTCCCTGCAGAGAGTGGTGCCTGTCAATCACAGCTCCCCCCTTCCGCGCTGACTGGAGTGATGGATTGGGGGAGGGGGCGAGCACAGCTGGCTCTAGAGGCAGAGCCAGCTGTCAATCATACCTGATTGCTCAGTTCTCGATCCTCTCCCTGCAGAGTGGTGACTGTCAGTCACCACTCCCCACCCCGTTTCTCCAGCTCTGATTGGAGGAACAGACAGGGGAGGGGGCAGGCAGAGCCAGCTGTCAATCAGCCAACGGGGTGGATCTCGACAGTATTGTCAGGATCCTTCCTGGCTGTATGTAGCGTGGCTCTGTGCTGCCACCATATAGCAGGCAATAGCCTGCTATATGCTGAGTTTTGGTTCACATGAGGACATAAGTAAATGTGCTCCTGTGACCCTAAAGAGAACTATGGTCAAAAAAAGTTGGGCCATAGTTCTCTTTTAAGGCTCCCTTCTCATAAGCTCATCAGAAGGGGATCCGTGCATGCTGTGACACCCATATCCCTCCATCCTGCAATGGAGGAAAGAACAAACTGCTGGACCCGGTCTACAGGGTCTGCCTGAAAAACTGACAGGCGGACCCAATCAGACCGCCCATATGAAAGGGGCCTTAACCACTTGGAAATAATCACAATTCTTTGTCTTGTGCATGCAATCAATGCAAAGTCCATATTCTCAGAGGCCACTGCTTATGTGCAGATCTTTGCCAATTTATCTCCTGCAGAAACAATCATATTCTGCACCAGTGTGCCTATTTGGTGTGGACCTTATACCCAGTTGGTGTAGACCTTATACCCAGTTTGCGACTATTTGGTGCGCCCCTTACGCCTGGTATGCACATATTTGCTGTGGACCTCATAACTAGTTTGCGCCTACTTGCTGCAGACCTTCTGCCCACTTTGTGCCATACTTGCATTCAAGTATTAGTAATCTAGTGCCATATTACAGAACCCCGAATACCAGAGGGGACATTTATTAAGCACATTAGAAACACAGATGCAAATCAGGCAACTTCTGACTTGGCAAAGTCTCTGCTACAGGTTTACAGTGTAATTACGAGTTGTGCGTCTGAATTCCCAGACAGTCAACATGGACAGAATTGCAAGGCCTGTGACAGGTTTGTTCCTGAAGACAAGACAGATCTTCACCCCAAACAGACGCATGATTAAGAAGTGGTCGGGTTCAGGTTTTATTCCGTTGCAGTGTGACTTTCCAGTCCCTAAGGGAGGAATTACTCAACCTTGTAATAAATCTGTTGCATGATGCACCTCACGTCTGTTCAGCATCGCCTTGCTGTGCGGATGTATTGAAAACGTTTTTCCAGAGTGTAACAGATCCCGGCAGTGACTCAGATCTACAGCGCTGCTGTGTGATTGGCAGGCATCGGCGGCAAGACTCTGCTGTAGGGATTGGCTGTGATTGTTTTTAGTTTTGGTAGAATGAGGGGACATGCCACAAGGGACGGTCAGAGGCTGAAGAAAGACTACAAGAGATGGTCAAAGACTGGAGACATACTACTGGAGATGGTCAAAGACTGGAGACATACTACTGGAGATGGTCAAAGACTGGAGACATACTACTGGAGATGGTCAAAGACTGGAGACATACTACTGGAGATGGGGAAAGACTGGAGACATACTACTGGAGATGGGGAAAACATAGGCGATGTTAGAGGCTGAGGACATATTACATGAGACTGCTAGAGATCATTACTATTATAAAATGTAATACTTTAAAAAAAAAAAACCAAAGCCGTGAAAAGGGTTGGATAGCACATAAATTATGTTGGTGTAAAAACCCCAAACCTTCTGCTACTAGAACCCAGTCTAAACAATGTTGTTAATTGTATCTTTGTGCTTCTTAAAATGTCTAAATAAACAATTAAAAAACATTTGTTGTAGATATTTTTTTCCTTCATTGGCCTGAGATCCAAAACACAGGGCCCAATAAGCGCTAAAGGGTCACAGGTTGGGCCTCTGGAGCTGAGGGAATCCACCCTGACGTGGCTCAGGTCGGTAGTAGTGATTATGAGATCTGGAAGCCATTTATAGTTATTTCCGGTCTGTGCTAACCAGAAACACCGCAATACAGTTTCAGGTATACAAAGAATATGAACCTTCTTCGTCACCCAACGGTACGTTTGCCGCTATGGACCGACACCACACACGGCTGAGGAGGAGACAGCCTGAGCGGTCTATGGCGGGAGCGCCCCCTCCTAAACACCGGTCACGTGGTGTAGCAAACCCCCCTCGCCCGCCTTCCACACGGATAAGGCCAATGTAAAGACCCGGTTTACATAGCTTCTAAAACACAACTTACCCCTCTTATAAGAACGATTTCCTCCCAGCCCGCCTAGCTCCGGTCACAGCGTTCCAGCTGCGTACAGGGAAGCCTCCCGGCTCACAAACCGCGCGTCACTTCCGGCGCGGCTCAGTTCGATGGTCAGGCAGTTCCTAGTTGTTGTTCGTAATAGAACAATAAAGTTTATTCAAACTGTCGGCGGCGAGCAGCGTGCAGCCCTTGCTATGGATGAAAATGCACAAGCCAGTGGCACATGGCAGTCTGGTTTCTTCACAGACCAGCTTATGTTTTGAAATACTGTTGAATTTAAAGCACACTTTGCTTTATTGGTAAAGTGTATTTATAGCCAAAACCTATTTTTTGTAGTTTTGGATAGAGGGGAGTGGGGGTGCGGCCCACACCAGGTGACACCAAAATGACTGCCTGTCATTATGGTGTCACCTCCTCTGAAAAGCCAGCCACTCAGTCAGTACAAGTAGCGCTGTAGTCATTATCCAGATCATCATCCTTAGCAGAGACCCAGAAATTTGTCCAGCAAGAGTCCGCAATCCCCAGCGCGCACACACTGGACGCGTCTGTCCCCAGAGATCAACTTATCTGCTGCCATCCCTAGGGTTGCCACATTCCGGGTTTCATGGCAGCTGAAACCTGGACACATGATGTCAGGCAGATGGGCAATCAAAATGAAGATAGGGGCTACTGCCCCCCTCCCACTGAGAATAGTCTCGACTTTGAGCGTTCAGTTTTGCTGAATGAAATGGTGGCCCCCCTAGCAATCCCCTCACCCAGAGGCATAACTAGAAACCACAGGGCCCAGGTCCAAGAAGGGCCCTCCGGGCAATGTCAGCGCCTCATCAGTTACTGGGGCCGAGTCCTCTTCCTTTTTTCTTAATATGAAGCCCATGTACAATAACTGTAAGGTGTATCATAGGAGACATTGACTGACCCATGAGAATTAAAGGTGAACTCCGGCCTTACCTTCAGTCTTGCACTGTTGTACAAGCTGCCCCCTGATTTCTAGCTTCCTCTGATTTCACTGCACACTGGGAGCTTCTCACAATGTGCATTAGAACCTGCAGCAAGTCAGATAGAGCTTGTGTCATTTCCTGACTGGAGGACATCTAGTATCATGTAGCTCTATTCCTCTCCAGCCTTACTGTCCCTGGCCCGCCCCTTTTATTCATTGGACTTCAGTTCATTTAGTCATGGAAGTGGAGCATCAAATGTGGGCATTACCAGGGCTAGTCTGTATGCACATGAAGCCTGCCTAAGCATGCCCACTTCTCCAGAATGACACACACCCATGAAGACATTTTGATATTTCCATAATTCCTAGAGCCAGCTCACCGCTTGCATCCTGGCTCAGATTTCTTCAGAGCTGTACTGAGGCAGGTGCTGTAATGTTTTCAGGAAGCTATGCACAACACCCTGCTGGCCCCTCCCACCAGCCATGATCTGCCTGCTTTGCATAGAGAAAGAGACCCAGTGATGAGATTGCTAGGTCTAAAGCAGTTATTCTCAACCTGTGTAATCTCAGGACCCACATTTGTACTTGGTCATTAAGTCGCACTGCAATACCGCATGTTCCGGTGTGGGGGCGATTGAACTGTGGGTGGGAGATGGGGATGAATGGCAATGCAACGCACCAGAACACATAGTAGGTGTGATTGCGTGGTACAGTGTGTTAATGGAACAGGATTGCTCGATGACAGAACTGTACTAGTGTGAACGGGCCCCGAGTGGATCCTCAGCCTGGGGTCCAGTGTGGGCTGCTGTGCTGTGACGGAGCTCCCTCCATATGTGCATCGCTTGTACAGCTCCCTTGCATGCCCTGTAGAGGTGTCGGGAGCCAGAATGTGACGTCAGTCCGGTCCAGGCACCTGAGGGAGCTGTAAACGATGCACGTTTGGATGGAGCTCCCTCGCGGCAATACCCCCCAGCCCGCCCCACCTCAAGTTGACACTCGGCACTGGGCAGCATATTTTGAATGGCTGCTTGGTGTTGAGAACTGACATTGCTGTGCTAGGGGGAGGCTGAGAAGTCTCTCACCTAGCACAGTGGAAGGCACGCGGCAACCCACTTAACACAGGGTCACGACCCACCAGTTGAGAACCAAGGGTCTAAAATGAGGTATGCAATGAGAACAGAAAGGTTTTATTTGAAAGGTTTACTAGCATGGAGGTAGGGTTGCCACCTGTCCCGGATTCAATTGGACAGTCCGGGTTTTGAGTCCTGTATGTGCTGTGTCTGAGTTTCAGCTAGTCTGAAACCCGGAAACAGCACATGCAGGACTCAAAACCCAGACTGTCCAATTGAATCCGGGACAGGTGGCAACCCTACATGGAGGTGAAGAGGGAGGAAGAAATCAGAAAAGGCAAAATATAAGCAAACTAAGCTTCAGCTTTAAAATATTTCATGGGGTAGGTCATGTCAATTTTGTTGAGATCAGCCCTGTTTGAAGAGAGGGATCCTTCGAGCTTTGAGCATTATAAATATTTTAATTTGTGGGCTTAAAAAAAAAAAAAAAAATAACCAAAATGCATTAAATATAACAATAGTCACATTTATTTGTACAAGGCAACTTAAACAACAGTGAGGCCCACAGACCTCGACAAGCAGATGTAAGAAGTAGATAAGTGAAATTTAACATAAAACTATATTTTAAAGACAACGTTCCACATGTGTATATCTTCTCCAATGTCTTACATAAATAAAATATATTAAAACCAGAACTGTACACCGGAATATGGAAAAGAGAAGAGAACTTAAAAACCAAGTCCACCCAAAAACAGATTTCACTTTGAGGTGAACCCATTAGTGTCTCATATTCTTAGTATGCTCACAGACAGGTAGATATTTCTCCAGAGGACGAGGGCAATGGGGATAGATCTGTCCATCCACACAAGACCCGAACCAGCTCTGGGAACCACTATGATCCTCACCCAACACCAGCAGTGGTACACACATGGTTCTTTTGGGCTTTTTGTTGCTATGTGGTGAATGGGCCCATACTATAAATGTCACTAAACAATATCAAGCACCTCTAACTGCCTGGTCCACTTATAGTCCCCTAGTAATACCAAAACAACCCGGCAATGGCATTGATGCTGCAAATCAAGAGCTTTGTTTGCTTTTACTGCTGTCTATGACCAAGTCTCGATAGAGGGAAATAAGGGACATAAGTCTTTACTCTGACCTCCCAAACAAAAGACTTATAAAAGTGGACTAACAGGTGTCACACTCTTCCTGTTGCGTCCACATAATTTAGCAGATACAAATAACAAAAAAAGTAGTGTACTGTACCTTTGACCTTAACAACAAAGACTTTCTACATTCACATCTACACTTTATGTGCGATATGGTATTCCTGCAGCAGGAATCCCAAATCTGTTGCTTACAAGCGGTAGCGGTCACCCACTAAGGAAACACTGCTCCTCCACGGCTCAGAGAGGGAATGAACCGGGTGCTTGCCGCTGGGAGCACATCCTCGCTCCAGTATGAGCCCATACAAGCAGAAGAAAAGCTGGTCACACAGTGGATTATGCTGTAATAGTTTATGGAAGCTGGTGTCCCACCCAAGGTCGCCCATTCAAGTTAATGATGGGGTAACAGTGGGCGCATTCGAAAGCGACAGAACGCTGGCACACCACATGTGATATGATTACATGCAGTTAGGAAGCAATCACTATCCCGCAACGCATCAATTGTGCATCTAGGGATAGTGATTGATTCCTAACCACATGTAATCGTATCACATACGATTACATGGCGGTGTGCCGGCATTCTTCCGCTGTCACCGCGATCATTGACTACGGGTGACAGCTGCTGATTGTAGATGGCAGATTTGGGATCCCTGCTGCAGGAAATTGCAAACTTCCGACGCAGCAATACCAAATCGCATCTAAAGTGCAGATATGAATATAGCCTTAGAGTTACAGTTACAGTGGGCACATTTCTTTAGTGGCGCCCATGAGAGAAGCAAGATGGTGGATTATTCAACTTGCTGGGTTAATTTTGGGTGGACTGGTGAATTACTGGATGGTATCGCTGAAAGGGAAAAATGGTCATTTTATTGGCAGAACAGAAATATTTGATTACTTGCAAAATTAACGTAATTCTTTATTACTATGGCAATAAGCGAACATGACTGATGATTTGTGAGTGGTCAAAACCTCTGTTAGTTTAGTACAGGTTTCCTTATAGCAGAATTGAATTATGCTTAAAAACTTTACATGACAACTAAATTGTACTGTACTTGGTCCACCTTTGGCTCTTTAGATCAATTACAAAAAGCAAAGCCCTACTCCTGCTTCTTACAAGTAAGTCGTCTTTTGGAAAGGGTTCATGTATTACTCCAAGAGTCATCTCTACGCGTCATCTGTAAAATAACATTTTGTGATTGGTTGTCAAAGCTTTAAAGCAGTGATAAGAGTAGGTTTAACAAACACATGACAGACAATTGAAGGAGAACTCCAGCCTAAACCATTTTATTTGCAAACATACAGGAGGTCAGAAATTGTCAGTAAGCCAACATCATGATCAGTTTCTATTACTAAATTGTCAGGATTGAACACAAAATTACAAACAAATATTGAAAAAAAAAATAAGTTACGGTAAGTAACAACATGAAGCCCTAAGCAATTGCAGGACTTGGCACATTTAGGAGGATGAACAGTAGATTCCATAGGTCTACTGGTAAAGTAGAAAACCCCTTCCATGGATGGTATGCACCCATTTCTAGAGACAAGTTAGGTAAAAACAAAACAAGAGAATGCTGCAAGACATTAATCAATATCTGCAAAAATCTCCTAGTCTTTGAAAGGAATCATAACGTTACTTTGCTTTCAGTAAAATAATCCATAGTGGTTCCACTAAAACTGTACAGAACCAGGTCCAGGCCAATGGGAATTAATAGCAGATCCAACACTGGCTTTAACACTGGGCTGAAAAATGCAACCAACATATAAAAAAAAAAAAAAAAGTGACATTTACAGTCCTTGTAATGATAACTACTTCTGAAATTGCTACGAGGGTCCACAGCACAGCTCAACTCTGGTTCTCAAGGCTCACCATGGGAAATGTCTCAAGTGTCCCTGCTGCTTTTGACAAATGAACCTGATCCTATG